GCAGTGAAAATTAGATCGAAGCTCTCTGCAGGAGAATTCTATTTGTAATTTAATTAATCTCCATGTACTTGTGGCTTAATATTTAAACATTTAGAATTTGAAATTATAATTTAAAAAAATCATGTAAATTTTGAAATTTTTTAGAACAAGAATCAGTAATTGAACGTAAAAAAGTTCATTAATAATAAAAAAATCATTTTGATATTTGTGAATCTAAAAACCTGTAAAAAAATGAAAATTTACCAATATTGTGACTTATTTGTGCCTTTATTGTTCTTTTTCACACTATGGTGGTAAGTACTGTTGTCCTTCATAAATCAGTCAAATTTCTGTGCATCAAAATTTGTAAATCACTTCTGGCAAAAAAGGTCTCATCCACAAGGACGCTCTTTTGAAATCCTGTAAAAGGCGAAACGGAACAAAAGCACTGCTCGCTTTTTTCACCATCGCACCAAACCACACGCTTTTAACAAAATTAAAAAGCTACGTGCGGCGCAGAATATAGCAGCGCGACGTGTCTGTCGAACATGCAAAATTAAAAAGCGCAAATTTGCCGGCGATTTAGGAGAGCTTTTAATCATCGGCGCGAATGCAACACGCGATTTGCCAGAGAGTGAATTGGAGCACGCCGCGACTTTTAATTCGCGCTGTCGTTTTTCTGAAACTGTTCACTCGCGCGCCAAACATCAAACGGAGTGCGACTCAAATCAAATGATCGCGCGCGGACACAGAGTAATTATTGAATTAATGAACAGAGAGCATGATTTTGCACCGCTCCAGCTCTTCCCTTCCCTCGCAATGCATCGCACAAAGTTGATTATGCTCAATTGCCGGTGGTGGAAAATTACACGGCTCGCGTGCGCGCTTCCGCCGACCGGTTGTTAGAACGGCACAATAAAAGTGCTTCAATGGCAGAAATTAATGAAGCCGCGCAATATTCCCTAATTAGGGTGCCCTCCGCCCGAGTGGCCATTTTTGCCCATATCAGCACCGGCCGCAGACAGCCAGTCTCGTGTAAGTTTAAAACACACGCAAATAATTGTGTTGGCGTTTTAATCCTTTCCCGGTATACCAATTAGCAGATTTAAGTGCTCTGGTATTTCAATGCCTGGTTTGATAAAATGTTTGTATGTGAAGAATTTAATTAAAGCTGGCTAATTATTTTCAATTACGCCGATTGGTTATTGTCAAAATGTTGTAAAACTAAATTGTTTTAAATTATACAAGACGGCTAATTAAAAGGTGATATTGCACCGAATATTTAAATAGAGCTTTTTATTAAATTGATATGCTTTACTTTTGCATTTTGGAGATAAATAGAAGATGACATTATATTGATTGTACAAGATTAATGCCTTAAAAGAATAAACAAACTTAATAATTTATGTATCACATATATTTTCATTTTAATGTTATCATTATTTTATCGTTTTATAATTTAATTATAAGTGTGGCACAGTGTGGCACTCTTTTTTTAATATTTACTGGTTTTACCCAAACCTTAATTAAATTTGGTGAAATAGTTTGTCAAATAATTAATTCAGGTCATCATAGTTGATTTTAAAATTTTAGCTTCTCCACATTTAAATAACATTGAATAACATGAAACATGATACTTTTGTACATCGGCGAGAAATTGAAACGGTCAAACATCAACTATATAATAGAATTTGCGCTAAAAATTATTTACATAGCAAAAACTTGCACCAATAAAAAAATCCCTTCTCACATATCTATATCAACCATTTATGCAGTCATATAGGAGATAAAAGATATTAGTGGAACACTTTAATGAGATGGATGCGATTAATTACCTCTTGTACCCGGATTCATTTAATTCCAAAGCTATAATGTTTACATTACACTGTATTCTATGAAATGGCAACTTCCGTGCCGAGTGTTGCAAATAAGCGCCCACTGTACACAAAATGTTGCTGGGAGCGAGGATGAAAAAGCGACGAGCTCTGTCGCCGAAGAGATAATCGTCGGCGGTCGGTGGGTGTGTGTGTGCGCTAATAGTTAATTAAACAAACTCGGCGTGCCGACTGCCCGATTGCGACTCTTTTGCCGCTGGCCATTAATTATTTGCGCCTCGCTAATCCATCAGAGCCGCTCTCGGAGGACCAGCAGACGGCCGAGTTCATCCGCCGAGAGTGAAAGAGGAAGAGCAAAAGCAAACAACACACACACGTGCGAAAGTTAGTTTAAAAGCGGTGAAATTGCCGGGCAGGTTGATTGACATTAAAACCTCGGCCCTAATGCGGATTCATTATTAACACGATCGGCGGCCTCTGCCGGCCACCGATAAGCAGCAACAGCGGCTGTCAGGGTGCAACACCGCATCTGCCAGTCAGCCGCCCTTGTGTGGTCACTGCGGGTAGCCTAGGCAACCCCTGCAAGGGCCCAGCAGACCCACGGCCGGTTTGCTTGCTTTTCTTCTTCAACGGCCGGTGACATGAATTATACTTGGCGCCGATGAATTATTCAAATCCCCCCTCTCTTTTCCGCTCGGCTAAATATTGGGTGCTGCACACACTTAACCTGCGCTGTATCTCACGGCTGCACATCGGCCGGGCGGGCGGGCGGATCAGCCCAATCCTCTCGCTCGCGACTCTCGCAAGATTTATTTTGCACCCGGCGTCAAATTTAGCGGAAAGCTCGGGAGGAAAATGTATGCAAGCAAGAAGTGCATGCGGTGCGGCTGATAATATTTATGTATGCCGAGCAGCTTTTTCCTTTGCGCTCCCGCCGGCACACAAGCTGCTTTCCCGCCGCCGCCGCTGATATTATTTGCCAGGCTTTTCTCCCATACGCGGCGCTTGATTTCGCTTTTATTGGGGGAGAGCGGACGTGGATCGAGAACGTGCATTAGATCGGTTTTGCTTCTTTCAGACCGCGACAAATGTCTTTGCATATTCTAGAATCACTCCAAGGGGAGTAAAATTTTGTGAGAGCATCAATATAAAATAATTTCTAATTTAAAATTGATAAGCCCATCTAAAGCACAAATATATCTTAAAAAATATTAAAATTAGAATGGCAAACACACAAAAAATTAAACTATAAAACAGCAATTTACGCTTAGGTATAATTATATTTTGAGAAAATTCAATTACAAATAAATATGATCAAATAAATTTAAATGTGGCCAAAATAACGGTTCCGACAATAAGGATCAGTCAATAGATTTACTTGATCCAGTTTGATCCAGTTATTGCTTAGGTCCATAATCGTTGAATTTGTTTATAAGAATCCAATGAGTTGAGTCCAAAGTAAAAAAATATATTTATTTATGTGATGCATTTATAGAATTACTAGAATTGGCTTGATATTTTTTTTTATTATAATTTTTTTTTCGATTGCGGCCATAAAATGCAATTTGTATGCACCAACTTCCCTATGTCAAGCTGGCGAATAAAAAATAATTGCATGATTTAATTTACTACAATGTTGCGCATTTCCGCCGAACGGAAACAAAGCAAGATAACCGATTTGTTAAGACCATAACCTGGTTAACACATTCATTACCATTTTCTTGTTGCTTTTTTTATAGTGTGTTGCTACCATTTATCGAGAGTATTAGTTGGAAAAGACTGAATAACTTAGGGAAAATGGAGAGAAAGATTGATTCTGGTGATATTACAATCTTCACGGCTTGTCTCATCATTGCTTTGGCCATTCTCTTTGGGAACGGCATGACAATTCTAGCCATTGTCAAAAAGAGAAAGCTCAAGACGGCTTCAAATCAGTTCATTCTTGGTCTGGCAGTAGCTGATTTGCTGGTAATTTTTTTTTTTTTAACTTTCGACTAAAATATTATAACACTTCAAAATTAAGGTTGCAGTTTCGATGCCTTACAACACAGTTATTTCAATTTTGTACAATGATGTCAAGCTGGAGACCTATTCCGATTTTGTGTACAGTTGTCTATTCTCGTTGGTGCCTGTGATTTTATCAACCGTGGCTTCCAATTTAAACTTGCTTCTTATTGGACTGGATCGTTTCCTCTCAATTTCTGCACCAATTACGCATCGCAATTTTGTTACGATAAGGTGCCATTTCCTTTTTTAATTAAATTTATTTAATTTGATTTTATTTTTTATTGGATATATTTTTTTATTTCCATAGAAAAGCTCGATTATTTGTAGGCTGCACTTTTCTCCTTTCAATAATTGCTGCCGCCCTTCTAATTTTCTGGAACAATTGGCCTGAACAAAGGACTGGCAACTGCGTAAGTGGAGAAAGTCTTTGGATATTTAAATAAAATTATTTAAAAAAAATCTTTCATTAGGAAATATTAACTATCACCTTCAATTTTTTCTTGTACGTGTTGCTTCCATCGTACTTGTCAGCAGTGATTTTGATCTTAATTTGCTATACGCGAATTTTTATTGTGGCCAGATCGAGAGCAAGAAATGCAAATAAACCGTTGAAAGTAAACAAGTAGATAAATAAAATATAAATATAGAAATCATATAAAATTCGATTTCAGATGGTTTCCGTCGTCACCAGTTGCTACTGCATTTGTTGGTTTCCTCTAATGACGTGCTTGTTCCTTGTTCTCTACAGTGCCCACAAAAATAATGAAAATTTCAAAGTACACGACGATATATTCAGTCTCTCGTTTTTACTTGCATGCTGCAATTCATTCATGAATCCTATTATTTACGCATTCAAATCTGAAGATTTCAAAGAGGCTTTCAAGCAAATTTTATGCTGCAAAAGACAAACCATTAACATTGAACAGGACCGGACTGCAAACGGTGGAAATCGCACTAATGATAATTATAATGAGATACCCATGTCTGAAATTTAAAAAAAAATATTGTAACTTTAATTTTTTATTAATAACAATTAAATAACCAAAATACTCAAATGTTTTATTTTTAAAAATACTACAGGAATAAATTATAATAGGAATATAGCTTGATAATTCTCTAACCGCACACCGGACGATCATTACAATTTTTTTCACCATTAAGTTTTTATCTTCGTATTCGGTTTTCCTGACCAGTGGCAGTCCATCCGCGGCACTGTTCGGAGAGTTGCCGTTTACTAACTTTCTTTTACATTCTTATTTTTTTAATCTTCCAAACATGGAGATGGTTGAGGGATTTGTTTTACTTTTATCGTTTCTCATTACAATCTCGGTGATTACTGGCAACATTTTGACCATAATCGCAATCCTGAGAAAACCCAAGCTCAACACAATATCAAATCAGTTCATTCTCGGACTCGCAGTTGCTGATTTACTGGTGAGTTTGATAACAGTAACGTAATTAAAACTTTTAATCAAATGTCGGGAAATCCACAGGTTGGATTTTCTATTCCTTATGATACGGTTATGACGGCTTTGTTTGGAGATAAACCGATTGTTACATATAGTGAATATGCGATTTACTGTTTGGTATCGCTTTGTCCAATTTTCCTTTCTTCGGTGGCGTCATTTCTGCACCTCATGCTGATTGGTCTGGACCGGTACTTTGCAATTACAAAGCCTTTGGAGCACAAGACTTTCATGACAAAAACGTATGTTAACTTTAAGAAAGGATTTTTTTTTTCAAAAAAATTGTAATCAAATTTTTATTGATCGAAGGTCAAGCCCAGTAGCAATTTTTCTTAATCTATCTTCAGCATTAAATTTTGATTTTTTACTAGGAGGGCACGTTATGCAGTTTGTATTGCATTTTTCATTGCAACTCTCGCGGCTTCTCCACCAATTTTTTGGAATAATTTGCCACAAGAAGTTGGCGATGGATACGGTTGTGTATGATTTTATTTTATAAATTTTAAATAGTCTGTATTTTAATTAAAGATTATTTAAGGCAACAGTGACCGTCAAAATCTACTATTACTACTTCGTCCTTCTCGGTTCTTATATTTCGACGTGGATTTTAATCCTATTGATGTACGCCAAAATCGCCCGCGTGGCCTCGGCCAGACTGCCGAACAACAAAAAACCGCTGAAGGTCTGTTTAATCAGTTCCTCCCGTAAAATTAGTCACTTCCACTGACGCATTGATTTCCACTTCCAGATGTTTGCAATCATTGTGAGTTGCTACACAATTTGCTGGTTTCCCTTCATGTTTTGCATTTTTCCTGTTCTCTACAACAACCAACACGACGTCGAGAAAATCTTCTACATCAGCCCGGAAGTTCTGGCATTTTCGTACATACTGGCCAGCTGCAACTCGGCCATGAATCCTATAATTTACGCGTGGAAACTGAGAGGGTTCCGGCATGCGTTCGAAGAGTACCTGAGATGCGGAATCAAAAGTTCTAAAAATCGAGACGAACCACAGAGTTCCAGCAACCCCGTCGTTGAAACTGACGTTTGAATAAATTTAATACAGAAAACCATTTATTATAATTAACTATAATTAATCCAACAGACTAAGGACACCGAAAAGGGAAAAGTACTTTACTGTTCACTGGAATAAAAGACTCTCTTTTGTGCAAATAAGGATAAGTGTAGGAATCAATGATTTTTTTAATTGTATATAACTTGCGTTAAACCAAAATAAAATAAATTACGAAATTGTTTTTTTTTAATGACGATCTTTCAGACGAAAAAATAGTATATAGCATATAGCAAACAGGATTTCGGTGAAGAATGTGGTCATGAATATTAGAGGTTAATATACCTCCAAGACAAAACGCGGTTTCCATTCCTTGCATACAATAGCGTAGTGAGCGCTGCATATCCGGACTAGCGGAAGAGAAACAACCGCAAAATTATGCCACTGATTAAACTACCGAAGGTCAAGTTAACCTTGTCATGCATGAGTCAAATTTTTTGCATAATATTTAGGCTCAATATTTAAAGATCAATTTGAAGAAATTTTCTAAATTATATGATAAAGAACCATTATTAAATTGAAATTTTTTTAATACTTTTATTTTTTGTACTTATTTAACAGTTACATGCACGATCAGATAAACCGCTTGATTTTTTGTGAGGAGAGGAAAAGGGAGTTAATTAGAGTTAATTTTTTTACTCTTTTTGGCTGTCTGCATCAAATTTAATTCCAATATTTTTTAGGTAATGCAGTCGCGGAGAAATTTGTATTATTTTTTACTTTCAAATTAACATTTTTAAACCTTGTCTAATCTTTCAAAATATTTTTATTTCCAAAGGTAATTAAAATTTTTTAATTTTGTATAATGAGCGTTTCTTTAAAAGGCCGGTTTTTTAATTGCTTATTTTTAGAAGAAAATTAATATCAAATATGACATTTTAGCAGCGACATAAATTACCCTTAGAAAGCTGTTGAAGTGAGATTAACAGGTATACCAATTTTTCCCAAGACTAATGAGGAGCTCATCTTCTCTCTTTTAATAACGCAATTACTAAAAAGTTTGGCAAACGAAAGCTTCTCCGTTCAGCCGCGAGTTTAAAAATACATCTGGCTTATAATGAGCCTTAAAAAAGAACTTAGCTGGAACAAAACTGGAGCAAAACCTCTTTATTACACCTCTCTCGGCCGACAAGCTATTTTGTTATGCCGCCTTTCTATTTACCTTGTTATCTGTTTGCAGCTTGATAAAATAACGCCAAGCCCTATTTGAGCAGCATTACCACTCCACTTATTCGCTGAGCTCCGCCTGCTTCTCCTTCCCACCACGTTTCCTCGTGTTCATCCGTTGCTTCCTTAGCATTTATTGATTCAAGTGTAAATTGTTTTTACACGCCCTTGCGAACACACTCATCTGACTATGTCTCTTGTTAGCACACGATAAATATTAATTTCGGTGCCAAGACCATTATTCATCGGAGCAGACGCACGCACGTTTGCCCTACATCTCCAAATTTGTGGAACAATATAAATTACAAATGAGATATGAATCATCCGTGAACATCTTCATCTGTGCGTATTAAAAATTAGCATTATCATTTCTCATGTCGGGTGTGAATGCAAAAAAGGTCTAATTTGAGGGGGGACAAAGAGGTGTCTGAAATGTAAAAATGGGGGTGTGTATTTCGAGCGTGCGTCAGTGGGGTGTAATTAATGAGACGAGTGAAAAAACGAACCAGAGAGCTACAATTCGAAACGACCAGTCGGCTATTATGCTTCAACTCGCGCAATTACACCCTCGGGAGGCGCGTAAATGCGTGCGTGAGCCTCCATCCGATTGAAGAGAATCCCAAACACATTTTGAACTTCACAAAAATCAATTTGATTCACACACTATTAAATATTTTCAACGTACGTGGCGTTGATTTTTTTTTACAAATAGCTCCAATAAATTTCAGTTTTAAAAATTAAGAAACCTCAATTTTTATGCAGGAAATAAAGCTTAATATTTTAATTTACCTAATTTTCATCAAATTTTAACGATGGATGGCTTTTAGAATTTTTCTGTACAGCAAGATTATATTTAAATTTTAGTAATTATCTTTGTTACTTAAAAATAAATTATTGTAAGTTTAATTTTCTTTTCTCAACTAAAAAAACTGACACTATTGATATTTCGTTAAAAAATGCAAATATGTGTATTTTTTTCCTGCGCTCTACTTGAAAGCTTGAAGAATTTGCATAAAAATGCTTTAAATTTCCGCAAACAGTGTTCCAGATTCGATCGAGACGAGTCGAGTATCCACCCCATCACGGTTGGATTCGATGATGTGCATGCTGCCCCCATTACGGTAAGTAAACCTCTGAGAGCATCTCTTGCCATTTTTAAAATAGAGCGCGCAATGTGAGAGAGCCGAGTTTGCTGTGCTCGAGACTCGCATGCCAAGTACCCAATACAAATATTCTCGATCCACTGCACAGAACATGCGAAATCCTGCTTCCATACAATAACAAATCTACATTTGAATATACTAGAAATTTATTAAAAAAACATATATGGGCAACACACTGGGTTTTATTGTTTTATTGATTGAATAAATAAGAAAGGGTTTCTTCTGTTAAAAGTTAATATATTTAATTGTAATTTATGACGAATCTAAATTATTGATATATAATGTATGAACATTTTAAAAATGAGGATGACTTAATAAGCCTGGTTCTTATTTTTGAAAATGCCAATTTTTTCCAAGTTAAAAAATTATTTAAAAAATTCTAAACAGAATTCATAATGTTTTCTCAAGTTTGAATTTTGGAAATAAACGTTGAATAATGTTTGAACAGATTAAACATTTTGTCCTTGTCCAATTTTAAAATCTCGCATTAGGAGGGTCACTGGGAAAGATTATTTTCTATCACAGAGGCGACGACGCCGTATACATTTCCCTTGAGAGGACAAATTTTATTTTCACCTCTCTCGCGACGAACGCGTGGCCCTGCGTGTGATCAAAGAAGATTGACGACCGCGCTTCATCAGCTAATTTGCGATGCTTCATTTTCCCCGAGGCAATTTTCTAACGTGTCGTACAAGCCGGCTCAGGACGTTAATATTCAAAATCCATATTAATAGGCGCCGTCATGCATTCAAGGGGTTCGCTTCGCTCGCTGCTTAGGTGCTTAAACTATTTTCAGCAGTCACTCTCAATGGTTCCTCTTCAACGCACACCGACTTAAAAAAGCAAAAGGGCGTACGTTCTTATCTAACAGTGCGCGCCTGCTAGGTCCATTACAAGAGCCACGTGCCTTTTTCATATCTCAATGGGCTACAAATTACGGAACATTACTTCTTGCGCCAGAAAGCCTTCACAGTTGCTTCTGGGGTTTACGCTCTGCTTTTGGGCTGAGCGGCAGAAAGTTCTTTAGAATTAGAGGAAACCATGTTTGCTTTTTTATATACTGCAAGTGAAAAATTGCTCTATAAATTTTGTCCCTCGCGGAGTTCAAAGGGAAATAATTGCGTCTTTTACTCTCTATTAGCAATGCTTCACTTTCTGAAAGTCATCTTTTATCAACTTATTGTTTGTGTTTAAAAGGAAAATCTTATAAAAAATAAATGAATATATCTCAGTGCGTGAAAATTTTATGATCCGCCCTTTTCTATCAAAAAATAGAGTTATTATAGAGAAATAAACTATGGTCGTTAAAACCATATAAATATTGTTAGGACGACTACCTATTCATATTTTTCTCAAATACGCCTTACACAGTTGAGGAAACTGTGCCGCGGAACAGTTATGCAATGCGGGTGGCGTATCATTCACGATCAGACTGAAAATTAGCATGGAATTGATAATCAAAAGAATAAATTAAATTCTTTTTTTTTCTTCTTATGCTGAAGTGATGATTGTTAAGTCATTCTTTTTTCTAGCTATCCAATACAAGTGGGCTCCTTTTTATATCCTGCTCCAATGGTCAGGTATAAGGTATAAATTAAATTCTATTGCAAGTGCAATTTTAAATACAAAAATTAATACCAGCAAATGGAAATAAGAGCAGAAAACGATTGATTCATGATAATAAAATAATACAAATTTGAAAGCAGATATTTATTCCAGATTGCAATTTTGATCTACAGCCAACGGCATTATTTTACCTTTTTTAAATTAACGTTTGCATAATTTTGCATAAAACTGGAGTCCTCCACTGTGGGTCAATGACTTCTGTGTGTTGCGAGTTTTGCCCTGCCGCAGAATAAACACAATAAAGATCGGTGGCGACCAAGCAGCTTATCTATCTCGCAGCGAGCTCCGGTCGACGGAGAGTGCATGCACAAACTCTGGTACTACTTTGGTGTGGTCAATAACAGCAGTCAATAATACGATATCAATGCGCTGCGGCCGAGGGTAAAAAACGGACGCTGGAATACATCCGACCTAATATTACCTCCCGTCTCTTGACATTTACTGCAAATTGAACCCGCCAGCACGAGATCTGCTGATGGGGGGGAGGGGGGCACCTCGATGGGATAAATTAGATATCGGTCGGCCGACTTCATGAAATTATAAGGCTGGGGGAACCCTTTCGCCGAAATGAGCCGACGTCGGGAAACGCGAGCGCCGAATAAAAAATTTACGGTGACGCCAACAGATGTTGAGTTCTTTTGATGCCCTGCCTCTCTGCTCTCCAATATAAGACGCGGCGGCAGTGATACTCAATTTGGAGACACGGTGGTGGGCACTGGGTTGAATGATGAATTTTATAGGTGCGTGCCTCGTTCGTCGCCGCGTTGGCTTCTGCCGATAAAAAAAAATGACTCTAGAAAATATTGGACAAACTTTAGAAAAATGTCAGCTATCTAAAGTATTACTTTTTCATCAGGGGTCTAATTCTGTAAGATAGAATCGTTCCATTTCCATTTCTATTTCATTTTCCATTTGCTTACCCATTCTATTTCGTCGCCTTTTTTGATTACGACTTCTATTTCGCAGCCTATCCATTTCCATTTCTATTTCGTCATCAATTTTAATAGTTGAGTCATTTATTTATTTATATTTAATTTAATTATTCCCTATGCTTACAGTGCTCTTCGAATGGTTTTTAATATTCAGGTTGATAAAATTATATGAATTATTTAATTTTTAATGAAAATGTATATTTATAATTCTTATATGTCTCTCGCACCCCCTTTTAATCGAATCTTTTTATGGCTCATAATTAGGGGGGATCAAGATAATTTTTCCTTTCACGAAGTTAATTAAATCAATTTCTTAAAAATTGGTTGAATTCAAATACAATTATAATATTTTTTTTTTAGCAAATTAGCAACCATGTATTTTATATTATTTAATTCATCGCGTGCGCTGTTTGGTACCACAATTTGCCCCCACACTGAGGTACCACAATTTGCCCCCACACTGAGGTACCACAATTTGCTCCCACACTGAGGTACCACAATTTGCTCCCACACTGAGGTACCACAATTTGCTCCCACACTGTGGTACCACAATTGGCTCCCACAATGTGGTACCACAATTTGCTCCCACACTGAGGTACCACAATTTGCTCCCACACTGAGGTACCACAATTTGCTCCCACACTGGTAACCACAATTTGCCCCCACACTGAGGTACCACAATTTGCCCCCACACTGAGGTACCACAATTTGCTCTCACACTGAGGTACCACAATTTGCTCCCACACTGAGGTACCACAATTTGCCCCCACACTGAGGTACCACAATTTGCCCCCACACTGAGGTACCACAATTTGCTCCCACACTGAGGTACCACAATTTGCTCCCACACTGAGGTACCACAATTTGCTCCCACACTGAGGTACCACAATTTGCTCCCACACTGAGGTACCACAATTTGCCCCCACACTGAGGTACCACAATTTGCCCCCACACTGAGGTACCACAATTTGCTCTCACACTGAGGTACCACAATTTGCTCCCACACTGAGGTACCACAATTTGCTCCCACACTGAGGTACCACAATTTTCCCCCACACTGAGGTACCACAATTTGCTCCCACACTGAGGTACCACAATTTGCTCCCACACTGTGGTACCACAATTTGCCCCCACACTGAGGTACCACAATTTGCTCCCACACTGAGGTACCACAATTTGCTCCCACACTGAGGTACCACAATTTTCCCCCACACTGAGGTACCACAATTTGCTCCCACACTGAGGTACCACAATTTGCTCCCACACTGTGGTACCACAATTGGCTCCCACAATGTGGTACCACAATTTGCTCCCACACTGAGGTTCCACAATTTGCTCCCACACTGAGGTACCACAATTTGCCCCCACACTGAGGTACCACAATTTGCTCCCACACTGAGGTACTTTTGACTAAACGCCTTATTCAAATAATTTTTTATACATTTTATTGACTTGAGTGTATTAAAAATCATTTGAAAATTACTGTAAGCACATATGCAATAATTAAATTAAATATAAATAAATATATATATTTATTTATATTTATAATGGCTCAACTATTATAATTGACGAGGAATTAGAAATGGAAATGGATAGGCTGCGAAATAGAAGTCGTAATCGAAAAAGGCGACGAAATAGAATGGGTAAGCAAATGGAAAATGAATATAGAAATGGAAATAGAAACGAAAAAGCTTACAGAATTAGACCCCAGGTCCATTTTTGAAAATTGTGCTATGTTACTCCAAGAGTCGGATCAAAATTGCATGATTATTAACGGTTTTAAAAAATTTAATAACTTTTTATTTTAATATACTGGAATTACTTGAATAAGAAAGATAGTAGCCCAACATCTAAGAATTTTTAATTATAATTTCATAATTTTCCTCCAAACAGTGTATTAATTATATTTTATCGTAATTAAAATGTTATTAAAAGTTAACCATTTAACAATAAAGGCGTAGAGCACTTATTATAGTGACAGATAAAAAATTAAATAAATAAATAAAATTGAATTTTTAAAACAAATAAGTAAATAAATAAATAAAATCAATTCTCATCTTGCTTAAAAAAAAATATTGAAACAAAAAAATTAAAAATTTTTTCATCAAATCTGTTTGTATTGTTATTAGACTTCCCTATAACATATTAGAGTCTATTTCTTTAGGTCCAAAATTATTGATGGTTTACGGGGAGTGAAAGTCGTGGGTGGAGCAAGAAGAGCACTCGGACTGACAAATGTCAAGTCACATCATGAAGAGGAAACGTCGGCCTTTCCCTGTTTACTGCGCTTTTTGCGCTCCCAGTAGGGCTGGCGGGCGGGCGGGTGCGCGAAAAGTGATTGATGCGAGTCCACCTTGATTTGCGCCGCCATCCCTCTTCGCACGCGCCCTGCTCTTCGCTAGGCTGGCAATTTTTTCCAAGTCTGTGTGCCTGTGACAGACATATTGGTGCTCGAATCACTTTTCAATCATTCCGGCCGTGCTCAGTCAGTCTGGTGGCTGCTTTTTGCTTCTCCGCCCTCCATCCACCAAACGAAATGGGTCGGAATGAGAAACAATATATATCCGAGAGAAAAGCTCTCTGAGCATGGAACGCAGGGCGAAACGATGAGATTCCACTTCTGGATATAGAAATCTGCTCGCCGCGAGAGAATATTGAGCCATTCGCATGGAAAATAACTTTTGTTTGTCGCACGACGAGCTGTTTTGCTGCTCTAACTGTCATGAATAAGTAATTCCAAACTTGGGAAGGATTTTCTTTTCTACCTTTTTCTCTTGTCTCTCCGCCGACTCGCTTCCCCTGTGATGGATAAAGTTTGCTCTGGCTTGCGCGCGCGAGACAAATGAACTGGATATTATGGTTTCGTCCCTACTCAAGCATACACTTGCTATACATGACAAATTACTAACTTTTAACTAACATCATGAATGGTTCTAAGGGTCACCTCTATTGCTTATTATTTATTATGCAAATACTGTGCAAAAATTTGATTGGTTTTCTGCTGTGATTTTTAATGTTAATCATTATTATTTATGCCAAAAAATATACTTCATTTAAAAAAAAATTAATATAAAGTTTATATGAGAAAGTTTTATAATAATCATAAGGTTTTTTTAATAAAATAAAGTTCGATTCGGGCTCCAAAATGCTTATATACTCAATTTGACCAATTAATATTCATAACTAATCAGAAGTAATTATTATTGCATTGATGCCCATTTTTCTATTTAAATTAATGTTTGTCATTGCTCGCCACGAAAAAAAATCTAGAGCGTAATGATTTAAAATATAACCCATAATTTTGATGAGGAGACGTAAATTAATGCAAAAAATTAAATTACATGAAATATACTCAAAAAATTTGTTTTAAAAGTGCGCTTAATCCTGGCTTAATCATGAAAAATAATAAAAAATTTAAAATGCAAACTGGGAGCATATTTTTTTTTACTTACATTAGTAAAAACATTAATTAAAAATAAATTACTTTATAAATTTAGAATTTTTATAAATAAATTATTAATTTGGTTAAAATTTATAATTTAGTTAATTTTATTATAATAATATATTAATAAACAATTTTAAATTATATGCATTAAATGCAACAAATATTAATTTTACAGTTTTAATCATCATAGAATATGTATACAATTTTTTTTGTCATTTTTATAATTCTTCTTGAATGTTGAATCACATAATTTGAATTATTTAATTATGACTAAAAATTTTTACGCTTATCTTTTGCGGTTCTCATCAAATACATTATGAATTATTTAACACATTCACACTCAAATAGGAATTAAAACTTAAGTCAGTATTCAGGGAAAATCATTCATGTATTCATAATATAATAAAAAATTGCATGTTGTTAATTATTTTGAGATTATTTCAAAGAATTTTTCTTTTTTTGGTGGATTTCCGGATGGTAATAGCAAATGCGCTTTTTCCACCTTCACGATGTGTACATATTTTCCGTACATTTTTCCAACAACAATCTGCGTTGACAAAAAGCGTGCACCTCAAAAGAGCCGACACGACACGTGCGGCAGAGAGAGAGAAGCAGCGGGTGGGCGGAAAGCCGAATCAAAGCCAGTGAAAAATTCGCAAAATAAGCCGCGACGCGCAATTTCCCGGCAGGCGGCAAATTCCTTTTGTGCCAGAGAGAGAAAGAGGGGCCATCCGGAGTGTGTGTGTATATTTTCGGTGCTCATCCCTAACAACGGTGTTGCGTTGCCACGTAGCAGCGGACACACGGTCTGGAGGGATGCTGCGGTCCACTTGGCCGTCGCGAGCGGCGGCGCCCTCTGCCGCCGGCGGCGCTGCCGGCGCTGCGCCCGTCGCGCACACCATCCTCCTCGGAACGAGCAGTCAGTCAGTCTGTGGTAGTCGTGTGGCGGCGTGCGACACGTACAGAGCATTCTCTCAGCTCCACCATTCAAACAGCATCGGACAAAGACAGTGAGAGTGCTCGATCAAAATTCGGAACGACGTCGAATGTGCCGCGGTGCGAATCATGCAGGCCGCCGCTTTTCGGCCACCTGAGTAAATCAGCCCGACCTCCACCAACAACCAACATACCAGCGGTAAACAACAACACTACTCTCACTGGCCGTTGATTGTCTTAGATGTGATGATCTTATCTGTTGGATCGATGTGTAATTCCTCCTTCTAAATTAGCGAAACAATTCGTTCGTATTTACATTTATACATATAAATATACCGAGAAAAAAAACACGTGCTCTGTGTGTGCTTCGTAGAGTGTCAAGAATTATGGAAGTGGTGTCCTGCTAATGAATGTGTCTCTCTATCATTATATTGCTTGAAGTGTATACTTGATCTTGCTTCTACCACCACCAACCACCAGTATATAAAAACCTCAAAACGCACCGACAACAAATATATTGGGTGTTTTTATCTCTTTATACAAATTTTCTATAGAGAGAGACGTGAACTTCTCTCTCTATAAAAGTAATCTGTGTGTGTCTTATCGCGTTATAAGAGAGATAACGATAAGACCTAAGTCGCGCGGTTAGTTGGACAGCACGAGCAGCAGCAGACAGGTGTCCCAAATGGAAATGCTCCACTCGCTCAACACCCTGGCCGGTAAGATTTCGCCGCAGAGTGGCAAGCCGGCCGCCCCGCACAACAACAACAATAACACGACCAACCTGAACAACAACAACCACCACCACCCGTACCAGAAGGTGGCCAAGGTGGACGTGGCCAGCAGCGGCGCCAGCACCGCCTCCGAGCCGTCGCCCAACTCGGAGGCCAACTCCAACGGCCGCCTCAGCCCGTCAAGCCAAATGTAAGTATTATATTTTTTTTAAATTCTTAATCAAAATTTTTCGGCTGGATTATTGTTATCTCTCTTAATGATCCCTTGGTGGGTGAGTGACTGGTGCTCGTATTTTTTTTTTTTTATTTGGTCTGCTGATAAAAAGCACTGTTTGTGACGTCTCATTAGGCCTTGTGTATATTATATTCTTACTTCATATTTTTGTACACAAAACACTCAAGAATATCAAGGTTTCCTTCTTTGCTTTTCTTCCCTGCGAAAATTCTTCCTTTTCCCCCCGGCGCGTGTTTTACGGCAGTTTGACGGCAACCCGGTTGACGACTAATGACATTTTAAATTTAGAGACGCGGTTACGAGCTCAATCATGAGCGTGTTTTGTGCTTAGTTGGCAAAGTTTTGCTGCAAATCGGACGCAGATTTGCCTCTCAAGTTCTGCTAGAAATGGCACTTTGAGAGATCATGTTGAAAAGAAACGCAAAACGGTTTAGAGTTTTTAAAAGTTTGTATGTGACAATTAATATAACAACATAAATTCAAATTACAATTTTCAACTTTTCTTGCTTTTAAAAGTTTCTATATATTTTTTAAATAAAATTTTTGTAATTGTAATATAATACGCTTATACCTTAAATATTAGATAAATATATCATTTTTCAAACGTATATTTATCATTTTTTAAACATGAAAATGAAATGTATAAATAACTTGTAGGCAACGTTACCAAAACATCCTATGAATGCTACAAAATTAGAACTGATTTCGGAATAACACAGTGGTTGCATTGAATTAGAATATTATTCAATATTATTTATTTCAATCTCATATATCTGACATCCATTCCTCAATCAATGTATTGAAAATGACTCTGAACTATCAAGTATGATGATTCATTAGTGAAACATACACACGAGGGAACCATAAATAATATACGATCAGAAATATAAACTTCAGAATGGCATTGTACTGTATATATTATTAAATATGAAAAGCTCACAATTAAAAATTATCATTATATGACGAGAAGTGTTTTTTCAATTTAATTCTATGGCAGATGAGTATTAATCGATGATTTTTATCTCTCACTCTCTGCCTTATCTGCACTGCTGTAAAGATAAAGTGCTACAAAAATACTATAAACTGCTCAAGAGCGGAACGGCCGGGTGCAAAAAACTGGATGGTGAAGCAACAGATCGCGGCGAAACCGAATCAGCTAGCAAAAATCACTAAACGCAATAATACACTGCTGATTGCTCTGACCATCCATGTGAGCAAAAGCAATCACAGATGCACCGCCGATAGATTGCTGGTAACTCGCTCAAAGCAATCACTGCACTCTTTGATTAATGAAAACGTGATTGGCCATTTGTACTTTGTTTGTGGTGGCCATTATTTATTTATCCACTCAAAAGGCAGTCAATGAGCAAAACTGACTGACTGACTGAGTATGTTTTGAGAGAAAATCACTTCCGCTTGACTTCCTCTTTGTTATTCCTCCTCCAGATTTACTGCCCCCGGCCTGTATGTTAAATAACCATGACCTCAGAGTGCAAAGTCTGATTGAGTCAGAGCCGAATAAACTCTCGCTTTATGGGCCTTTTATTAAACTGCACGCGTGGCACATGTTCAAGATCGTGGCCAAAACAGATGCACTGCAGCTATTTGTATTTATTAAATTAACTCTCTGGAGCAAATTGAATTAGGAAGGTCTGTTTTCTTTCATCCTCTGCATTTAATTGCTGTCTGCTTGCAATGCCGCGTCCGTGATGATAAAGAATGGTTGCTCGCGCGCTCATTCCGCCACTGCACCATTTAATCGGCGCCCGCCGTCCCGGGGATTTATCTTCATTTATAGTTTGCAGCCGGCAGCCTCGCGCAAATTGCTCCTTTCTGAGGAAATTAGAGTTAAAAGTGTGCCGCCAAGCTGAGTTTTTGTGTAATTGAATTAAGCCGCACAAGCGTGTGTTCAGCGCCAAATTTAATTCAACCGTCACTGACGTCTGTAACGCACTTATTGCAATCAAAATCCAAAATTACACTGGAGAATGAACATTTGCAGGAAAATATAAGCTGGGAACCAAAATTTGTAAAGTTGCAAGGATTTGAATATGAATGTTAAGTTATAATTTTTTTTGCAATATTTTTTAAATTTTAATTATGTTATATTTATATAAAACTTAAACATATCTTTTACATAATTTTCAATTTTTGTTTAGTAAAATATTTAATAAAAACTTTTGAAAAGTTTATGAAAGATTTTTGTATTTATAACTTTCCAATACAAACTCCATAATCTTGTACTTATGTTCATATAAAAATTCTATAAATTTATCGACTTAATCAATAAGATGAAGTGTGGTTGTGGTTATAATAACAAATAATTGTCCTTCTATTTTGTGTCATTAGTAATGAAGATTAAACTGATTGAAATTGATATTTATCATGAAAAATAAAAAATAAAAAAGGCGTCTGATAAATTTTAATATTCTAACTTCCTATTATTCCTTATATGCTCAAACGTCTTTGATTAAATAAGACAGTTATCAATATTATTCAGAGATAACATTTTTAGAACTATCGAGAAAATTTTTCTATAAATTAATATATACACTATTTTGAACCGTGTTGTTTATTTTATCTATCATACAATATTGACTGTGAATTCTTTTGTTTTGTGAATTTCAGTGAATTTAACTGAATTAAGAAGGACGATTATTCGCAAAAAATTGGCCTTATTTACTTTTCTCGATCTTTATTGAGCAAAATGTGCATACAAATGCAAATAATATAAAATTTTGGTGAAGATCGGAAGAAGAAAATTTATTGCCCCTTTCGACCCATGAAATCATGTTTTAAGGGAGTAGTTTTGACTTCGATGCACATTAATAGGCAATTAATTTAATTTTCTCAATAACCCCCACTTAAAAAGTTATTGCTATCAAAAAATGAAATTTAATATTAGAAACTCCTCTATCCTAGCAGTTGTTCTAAAGGCACTGAAATTACATTTCTTTTTCTCAAGCATGTTCTGAATAATCGAACACCAAACGGGGGCGATGAGAATGTGAGTCCCCATCAAACCGATCACAAGTGAATTCTATTTCGAGCACTTTTTATTTCACGCACCATCCCCTCTCTGATTTCAGTTGAGAAAAAAAAGGGGACACGTGTGTGTCGCGCTGCCCCCACATTGAAAAGCTCTTTCTCTCGTCGAGGCGCGCAGACACACTTGTGCACCATAATTTACATTTCGATCGACGGTAGCAACAATGGCCAATTAGCACCGCGTGCACACGTCGGCCAACAATGGCTCTCGCTCGGATCGATCGACTTGGCTGCGAGAGCAACCTTTGGCATTGCCGCGCGGCTCTTTTCGCATTTACAAAAGAGAGAAAGACCGGCGCGCGCTTGTCCCGCGAGGATAATCGCCACGGCGATGTAATTAGGACGCGGGTTAATTCCCTAATATAATAATTAATAGCGGGTTTTGCACTCAACAAGTCTCCCAGGGGGGCAACAGGTGCGCCAACTTGCTAAAGTTCTTTGTAAACATTCAACCCTTATTACTGGGGTGGGTGCTCAAGTGGCTGCTGGGTGGTGCGGTTGCGAAATTTTAAACTAATAGACTAGTGCTCTCGCGCGCGCGAACCGGCTCCTCTTTATGAAATTGGAGTTATCCGTCCTTCCTTCCATCCTCGCGAATAATCTGACGCTAGAGCGGTCGGGCTGCGGCCGCTGCGCTCCTGCCCGCAGCAATGCAAAAGTGCAATTGCAACTTGTGCTTAAACGGTCTCTGAAGGCATATATCACACACGTATGCACGTGTGAGCTTTCAACCAACCACCGTGTGGTGTAACTCTTGCCAGAGGAGGGCGATTACTCTTGAGTGCAGACTGCTCATGGCCACAATAATTGCAAAACGGTTACTTATATGCTGATCGGTAATAGGGTTTCTATAGTAATTTAAACCAACATCAAAAAATACATGGAGGAATACATTTTTTTAATTACTACAAACATTTTAATTTCAATATTTTAATTAAATTTTGCAATTATCACCTCCATGATTTTAATTTAATACCGGTTAAAACCTTTTTAGGCACTTTTGAGATTTCAGACCCATACTTATACGGATTTAATAGATGCTTTAAAATAAGCAGAAGTTTAATGCTTTAATGTAATTATATCAAAAAAATATCTTCAACAAATTCTTTTGATTCTTTTTAATATGAAAATTCCTTTAAAAAAATGCACATTAAATCACGTGTTTTCAAAAATATTTAAAATTTCTAAAACGCAGACCCCATTTTGAAGAAAATAAATTATTTCCACTGTATATTTATTTATTTTTTGTAGTGCTTTTTTATTCATTATACGTCGAAGTTGAAATTAATGATGTTTTCTCTGCTCTCGACTGAAAGAAGCAAATTTTACCTCTCAAATAAAGTCTGCTTTTTGTTTACTAATGAATAAAAAATATCCCAAATTAAAGTAGATGAAAACACCTAGCAAATATTTTTCAAATCCTTCAAATTTACATTTAATACAAAAAAACCTACTTAATTTGTGTTGAATATGATGAAAAAAACCTCATTTTCTAATTTTTAACTCGTCCGAAGAGATCATTTTCAGTCGTTCGGACGCTATTTAAAAATCATTAATATATTCAAAACTGCTTATCCAAAAATTCTGAAAATTTACACTCTGACGCAAAATGACATGCCGCATCTTTTGGCTATCTCGGATTTTTAGTCAGGTTGCCTATCTCAAAGGGGCAAAAAACTTAAGATTTTGACCTTTGGCCAGGGCCAATGACCTTTGACCTAGAAACTTGGTAACCATTGAGAAAAGATACACTGGTTCATTAGCTCCAACCTCCCACCGAGAAAATTAAAAAATCTGCACCCTAATTAATTTGGCATCAGTTTTAGTGAACCCTTGTGTATCTCAGACGGCCATATTGGATTTTCAAAAATATGAATTTTTTTCATTATTAGGGTATTGTAGAAACC